GTTAAAGCTATTTTGCTTGCTCTGATATGCTTCTCATAAAAATTTCAACGAAATAAAAAGAAGAAAAAGTGACAAACTTCCTACAAAATGGAAATGTCCTTTTTCTCAGTGATGATTTAAAATATTCAAAAATATTTTCTCACAAAGCCACTGATGGAATTGTCTCAGAAATATACATTTTAAATTCTGATACATTTCTGGTGTGTTTAACCCCAAATGGGGTGGTATGTTTAGCCCAAGTGGTGCTGTTTCATGTTTATTCAACTTGGCAGTGCCAACATTTCCTTAGCTGGACATTAGGTTATTAAAGCATCTCTTAAACAAAATAGACTGGCTTCAAAATGAGTGACTCCACCACGGGTTGGCTGGCTTCTTTGCTGGGTCCATACTATAGAAATCAGAAAACATTTCCTCCCAGCTGGCCTGTCTAGAACAAATACTTTCCCCCCGCTTTCTCATTTCACTCTCTGACCTTTAAAGTGTTTCAGAGGTGCACCCTTCTGGCTTCTTTACTCTGCCATCACTGTTCCTCTCTGCTGGTCTTTGCGTTCTTCCATTCCATCATTTCTGGGGTTTTATTTGCCTTTCTGTATGAATGTTACTTTTGTTTTTTTAATCTACTGGAAAGCCTTCTTATCATGGTCACTTAAAAGCACTGGTGGCACTTTTCAGAGGTCTTGATTGGACTTAATCCACCTTTCAACTGCCAGTATTTTAGACGTAAAATGAATGTTATTGATCGGCTTTAGGCTCTCTGAAAGATAGTAGGGCAGAGAGAAAAATGACAGAAGTTTGTGCAATTACCACATCACAGGAAAATGTTCTTGCTGGGTCACCTGGGGATGTCTAGGCCAGTTTGGAGTTTTTCTTTTCATTGCTTTTCATTTGTTTAATGCTTTGAGTAGCAATGCTCAGAACTTTTAAATTCCCATTAAAAAATGTCCTCATTTTGTCATAAAACTTCAATTAAACCTCTTAATTTATTTTTCTAGATATATTACACTAATGTTCAGAGGAGTCATAAAGAAACTGTAAAGAGACCTCAGTCCTCTGTATTTGCCATCTCCTTGATAGCGTTCATCAGACATTGTGACTCTCTTCCTAGCAGTAAAATATTGATGTTAAGAAAGAGAATATCACCTGAGAGCCCAAAGAAGCAACATTCTCTTGGGCTTAATTGTCAACTATTTGAACTGTAAGAACAAAACTCAGGGTATGAATGTAACACCTGGAAAGGTCATCATGACCCACTTCAGCACCCCCTCCGTGGGTACCTGTCAGTGCGTGACATTGTCCTGGAACCAAGAACTCTCCCTCCCCCCCATGTATGTATGCATACATATGTGTGTTATCTGTATGGACACATGGCTTCATGTGTCCCCTCCCCACCCCACCCCAAGTGGCCTCTAATTATTATCCTCATTTAGTTGTTGTTTTTTTAAAGATTTATTTTATTTATTTTTGGCTGCGTTGGGTCTTAGTTGCAACACACAGGATCTTTCATTGAGGCATGCGGGCTCTTTGTTGCAGCACATGGACTTCTGTCTAGTAGTAGCGTGCGGGTTTTTCTCTTCTCTAGTTGTGGTGCATGGGCTCTGTAGTTTGCGGCACGCAGGCTCTCTAGTTGAGGTTCACGAGCTCAGTAGTTGTGGCATGTGGGCCTATTTTCCTGCAGCGTGTGGGATCTTAGTTCCCTGACCAGGGGTCAAACCCATGTCCCCTGCATTGCAAGGAGGATTCATTACCACTGGACCACCAGGGAAGTCCCCTCATATAGTTTTAAGCTCATATTATTCCAGATTTGGCCAGTAGAGGCCCTTCAAGATGGCTCCTTGTGCCTGGGTCATATTTCCATGATTCTTTGGAGCACATTTTTACCTTCTGGTGTAACAGAATGTTCCAGGCTCATCTTGTAGCTCCAGGATCACCCTTCCCCAGCCCGGCTTTCAGCCACTTCTCCAAGGACCCTGGTTCCTTGTTGTGGGGAGTAGTATTAGAGATCAAGTTCTGCACCTCACCTGTCCTCATTGTTCCTGGAAAGAGCCAAGAAATATACAAGTGCACCCACATGTATAAGTACACATGCACACAAGCACGGGGTCTACACATATACATGGGCACATGTACCTGCACAGACACATACATATACACACGCACCCACACACATAATTATGCGTGCACACATGCATATGTTCTACACACGGGCACATGTACATGCATATATATGTACATGCATATACATACACACACGTATTTTAGGTATCATGGGTCTATGCCAGTATCTCCAATTCCAGTTTACCTTTCTTGCCTTCTCCCATCCCACATTTACGTGTCCCTCCTTTCCCAGTGAGAATCCTGGCTTCCCGAAACATCAGCATACTGACTCATCTGCTCAATCCCGTGTTACATCTGAGATAGTATCAGAATACCTTCACCCACATGTACTACAAAAACAAACCTGCTAAAAAGAGTTCAGGATCTTTCCAGTTCTCCCATCTCCCTGCCCTGCCCGAGATGGAGGACAAGCAGGGCATGTGGTCAAAACTTATAAATTATTCAAATTAGGTTTCCCCCTACATTGTGGTTATAATTATTTATAATTATTAATTATAAATATTATCAATTGTAATTAATAGATTAGGTAACCAACTTAATAATTTCTGTTTTATTTTTCCCCTGTAATTTTTTTGTAAAGAGAAGTAGATATATGTATGTTTTCTTAGTTCCCTTCCTCTTCTTTCTTTCTTTCTTTTTTTTTTTTTTTGTGGTACGTGGGCCTCTCACTGTTGTGGCCTCTCCCGTTGCGGAGCACAGGCTTCGGACACGCAGGCTCAGCGGCCATGGCTCACGGGCCCAGCCGCTCCGCGGCATGTGGGATCTTCCCGGACCGGGGCACGAACCCGTGTCCCCTGCATCGGCAGGCGGGCTCTCAACCACTGCGCCACCAGGGAAGCCCTCCTCTTCTTTCTTAAACAAAGGTACGGGATATGATGTTTTGTGCTTCGATTTTTCACTTACGAGAGCTTTTGGACCTCATCTCGCATCACTTCCTAGAGAGTTTCCTCTTTCGTTTCTAGGAGGGGATAGTATTTGTTGTGTGTCTGTGCCAGAGTTTATTCAACCATTTCCTGTGCTTGGACATTTAAGCAGTTTCCAATATTTTGCAGTTACAAATAATGCTGCAATGAATAAACGTGTGCATATATACTTTTATATTTTTGGAGGATTAGCTTCAAGATAAATTCCTAGAGGTGGGACTGCTGGGTTCAAGGGGAGATGAATATATAATTTTGTTAGCTATGGCCAAATTCTCTTCCATGGGGTTTGTATCATATTGCATTCCCAAGCATAACATACAAAAGTGGGTTTGATGGAGTGGATGGGGGAGGGGGTCATGGGATCACTTTTTGAAAAGCATAGGCTTAGAGGAATGGGACGCCTACATGGGATGTGTACTCGAGGCAGAGACGTGTGCAAGGTGATAGTTACATTATTTTGATGAGGACAAAAGGAAACGCAGGCTTTCCACTACATACAAAACATGAGAGTCACTCAAAGAGCCAGAAGTTTACCACCAGGGTCGTTGGAAGCAAATCCACTTTTTGTAATCTTTCTATCCTTTGGATGCTATTCACAGTTGTTTAGACATGAGATCCTCAGACCTTATAGTCTTATTATTGTTCAGGAAGAGAGGACTCTGAACGACTTATTTTTGTGATAAAACCTCATTTAGGCCACAATGATAGGAAGGATGCTCTGATTTCCTGAGGTTAGAAATGAGATTAAATAAGTAAGTACACTTGTTTAATATGTATTTTACGTTGGACATATTAACATTACTTCATACATGGCCTCCTACCATCTGCAAATTAGTAATTCTGAAATGTTCTTTCAAAACCAGGCGTCTAAATGGCTGAGCGTGGAAACAATGATTGGCGCATCTCTCTACCAAGCTTTGCCTTTGTGTATTTGTCTGTAGTGTGCATAGTATATAAGAAACACTTGCTTCCATTTTCTGTGACTGATTAACTGAATCTTCTCATCCAGATTAGTTTCCAACTGTCTGTTCCTTTGTTTCACAGAATATAGTCTACTGTGATTCTAATCTCTGTTATGCATGTTCTTTATGAATAAAATTCCAGGCACACAGACGTATATGTACACATTTTACTACGAGATAGTAAAATCTCAGTGTAGGGGGACCTCATCCCAGTGTGACTTTATGGTTCCCACTCTTTGCAGTTTTAAACTTTTATGTGAACCTGGCATTCTGGATGGGTCATAGCATATATAACAGCCATAGGATAGCTAAACTGGGGGAGGCTTGTTGACAAGGATTTGAATATCTGCCCTCTGGCTTTTTCTTGTCCGTATTTCATAACAAAAAACTAACAAGGATTCATTTTGGTGAAATCTGCCTACTAAATGATGCTTTTACATAATACATTCATCAATTAGCATTTGGATTTTGATTAAACCATTTTGCAAGTAATTTCACCCATTATGCAAGTAATTTCACTTTGGTGGCAGTTAAAAGTATATTTTGAAAGGAAAAATATGTTTTGTCATTGAGTACTTTGAGGGTCTCTTCAGTGTATCAAAATCTATGCAAATTGTAATATGGCCTTTCAACGTACAGGTGAACCCTTGTGATCCCAGCATTTACTACCATATGATACATGAAATAACCCACACATCAAAATTGTCAATAAAATAGCAAAGTCAGACTGACATTCTTGAAGTGTGTAACACTGTTATTTGCTTTTCTATCCCTAATTGGATCCATTGTCTCCTTTTTCCCGTTCTACTGCTTAAAACGTTTGCCTCGTTGTTTTATTCATGCTTCAGTCACATCTTTGTCGGCAATTACATTTATTTGATTGCTTATCTTCCATGATGATTCCTGGCATTTGGCTCGTCTTTTTTTGTTTAGCCTCCTTCCTTTTGAAATCCCTACATCTCATTTGTCAGCAACCTCTGATTATCTCAATTATCTCAAGGGACCTGGAATTATTCTGACGTGTCCTTCTACTTCAGATGAGGACCCTGACCTGGGATCTCAAGACCCAGGTGACTTCAGGATGGAGGATGGAGCCGCTGGATGTGTCTTCCCCTATTCAGATGTTTGAATAAAGCTTTTTACTTGTCTTCCTCTCCTAGAAAAACAATTGAATATTTTGCCACTTATATTTTTCTAATATTGTACTTGAGTCATGCTGCCTTAATCATAGTTTAACAAGTTGTTAGAAATTGTTTTAAACAGGACAAAGTAAATCCAACTCCATATAGATTGTCTTTCATTTGCAAATATTAGAATTTGAGTTAAAAATCATATAACTTGAAGCCGTCTACATAAAATGAAGTTGTTGGTATATTAAAAGTGTCCTTCTTTTCAAGTATATTTTATTTTAGTGTATTTTATAAAAACTCCATAGTCAGTGACTCGAAAGTAACCATGAATGTATTTTTCGTTCCTTATATTTTACTGGAAAAAAGTGGTTAAAGTAATTGTATAGATTTTTACCTTATTCTTTGGTGTCCTGTGTAACTAATTATTTGCTTTAGGTACAAATGACCTACTTGCTAAAGACTGTTCATTTTCTGCTGGAATAAAATACCTTTTCAATTTAGTGATTAACTTGGGATGAACATGCATTTGTTTGGGGGGAGAGAGTAAGTAATAATAATTTAATTCATTATGTGTAGTTTTTTCTTTTAAGGCATTTTCCTTTAGGTTAATTTCCTCCAAGGTTAATTCATACATGGAATCATATCTTTTATTAACCTTCAACAGAACAAGTCTCTCCTCCTAAAATAGTGCTCTATGCTTGAGTAAATGCTCCTATTCTTTATAATACTTTAATTAGAATTTTTAGAAAACAGTGCCTTTTCCTCAAATAAAAGGCCCAGACAGCACTGGATGGCAGAGTGGGTTCAACGATAAATGACGTTAAGTCTAACACCTCTGCAATTCTCTTTGCCTTTTCCTTATAGTCACAAGAAGTCTGCCATCAATCTAGCCATCTTATCTACTATCAAGGCAGGAAGAAAGGGAAAGGACCTGCCTTTAGCATATAAGAAATAGATACAGGAGGATTTATAACTTGAAAATAGAAATGTCATAACTTTTCTACTTGGAGTCATATTTTACTTTTCAAATTACTTATCTGAAAGGCTATAAAATATTTTTATTACATTATTATTTAGCATATATTCATTTAAGAAATACTGTGCACCAACTATGTGCCAGACAGTATTTTAAAACTTGAGACTATAAACTCTAATAAAGCAGAGATTTTGCCTTCAAGGACCCTCTGGAGTCATCCAGAAGAAGTGCAAGAAAACAGACAAATACAGTTCTGTGTGATAAACTATACAGCGTAGCACTGCCAAGGACAGGATTAGAGTGTGGAGTTGCTAAGTGATACTTGGAACAGGTGAGATGTGGCCCGGAATCTGGAGTATGAAGATAGGGTGACCAGTAAAAGTGAGAGGAGGAAATAGAGGGTGTCCAGGCATCAGAACAGCATGTGCCAAGGCCCAGAGGTGATGGGGTTCACAGTTTACTCAAGAACCACAAGTAATTCTCCATGTCTGGATCACAGGCATGAGGGATGGAAATTTAGGCAAACACTTCACTTTTTTCAGGACTTTAGTCTTCATCCTATCCTTGGTAATTATACTATTGTCTTTTAGTTTCGCCTGATTCTCATTCCTTAGAACTTAGTCCCAGGTTCCACTATCCTGGAACCCCTGGGCTAACAAGCCAAATACTTTCTTGTATTAACACTGGAATTCAATAGAAGCTGTATATTGGTGGTCTGCTGGCCTAATTGGACCTATGGATGTGATTAGTGCTGTGTTTGTATTTTTTTTCTTTTCTTGTACAGCATAAAAAAATTGAATTAGTTTCCCACATTTAAAAATGAGGAGATTTCATAGAAGAATCCAGTTTCTCTAGAAAAATGCGAAGATCTGGAAATACCAGGCCTGTATTCTCCTATAGGAACAATAGCCTGGAGCTGAATAAGGACCGGCAGTGTCCAGTTCACCATGGTCCTCATTTTTGGTTGTTTCACAAGTGCCCACTTGACTAATTTAAGGTTGGCTGGTTCCTGAAAGCATTTATATTTGCAACCTCTAGTACAGTACATGTACTATTTATATAGAGAGGGTTTGTGTTCTCCATATGTATGTGTATATATATATGTAAATATATATGTATGTGTGTGTAGGTATGCATATATGTGTTATATATATGTGTGTATATAATGTATGTGTATATATATTATGTGTGTGTATATGTATGTGTGTATATATATATATACATATATATCTTCTTGAGGAAACATTACTGGGTTAACTTGCACACTAGCAATTCTTGTCAAGGTACAGTGACATAATTTTGTTTCTACTGACACAAGCTTATCACATATCATTGAGTTTACACTGGCTACCAGCCTGCTTGAGTGAACAACCATGAAGCACCTCTTTATTATGAATCTTACTTCTAATTATCCTATACAATTTTTGTGCCTTGCAAAACGATTGCTATCTGGTAGACATTACAGTCTAAAAAAATCCCTCAGCAGATTACGACAAAAAGAGCAAAATAAGACCATGAATCTTCAGACGTGATGTCTACTTGGCTTTTGTTAACCCATTTAGTTTCCTTGACCCGCAGTATCTTCTTTTGGCAAATAGCTGTAATGTCCCCAGCTCTGTCTACATGATGAGGTTTTCACTGATATTCAAGTGGGACGGTGTATGCCAACAGTACTGTGAGTAGCTGCTGAGGCCCTTCAGATGAAAGGGGCTGTTATTATCATTACTCGTCTTGGGGTCTTGATAAAAAGTTTTACCAGAAGGTGATATTGTTCTAAAAAAACTGTCCAACTTTAAACCTCTGTGACATCTTATAAAAAAAAAGGATGCCAAAGAGTGGGACTCCATATGTATGGAGGCTTTGGGGACTGTGGCCAGTAGACAGTCTTCTACTATCTTCTAAATCTTCAAACCTGGTTGTCGACTAAGGTTTGAAGATTTTCTGCGTTATGTTTTGCTTAGATGGTGGATGAAATTTATTGAAACTATGACTATGGCAGTGTTAGATTTCTAGAACAAAAAGAAAAGATGGAGATTATCTTGTCTAGTTCACTCATTTTAATGATGAAATTATTGGACCCCTGGCCCCCTAAACTCTCAATCCAGTGCCTGTGATATCACGTACAAGGCAGTATTTGATACCCACATGGGTTTACCTGAAATCTGTTTAATTTTGCTATTTTTAAAGGAAGGTAGAGACTCTTTTCTTCTGTGTCTTTTAAGGCTTATTTACCTTGTGAGTCAAATAGGGGAACCTCAATAAGTTATCATCTTGGATGGGTTCTGTGTCCTTTAAGGCTTATTTATCTTGTAAGTCAAATAGGGGAACCTCAATAAGTTATCATCTTGGATGGACTGCTGATGAGATTTGGTTTTTCAGTGGTTGGAGGAAACAGGAGAACGATTGCTCTACAGCCTCAAATATTCTGGGAAGTAGAACTCCCAAGCATGTCTTACTCTTTTGGTTGTTGAAGTCATAGGTCTTCAATCCTCCAAATACAAGAAGAATTTTCACAACTGAAAATCCGGCATGATTTTTCACACTGACAAGAAAACCTATTAGAGGTGAGTAAAACTGCGTATCACCTCCAAGAAATGTTCTCCTTCTAAGAAGTTTTGGTAGCATTTTATCTGAAGCATATTTTCATTTTTGAAATTTTAACAATGCTAATTCGAAATGACATTGCCAGTTTAGAACGTTCTTATTAGAAACAATAAGCTTTGCTATGAGAGGCAAAGGGCCTTTGATAATGCTAGAACTGGATTATTATACTTTTATAGATTACTGTTGTAAACTACAACATATTATTAAGTGATTATATTTTTAATATTAGCTAATATTAACCCCAAAGATGAATTCTTTATATTTGTTTGTAGATTGCCAAGTCCTTTTCATTTTGTTTTTTGTCTTTCCCATCTTCTATTTCCCCCTCTCCACCAGCCACATTATATCGTACACACCTTCCTAACTGATTTTCCTGCATTAACTCTTTCTGTTGAATAGTGCCTATTGATAATCTGGTTAAGCTTGGAATCATATCTCCTGAATCCCCTTCCTGGTGAGTTTCCCTTAGTTTTGGTCAAGAGAGGAACTTGGGTGGAAATATAGAAATGGAAGTCCATCAGATCCGGGGATGAAAAGATGTAGAAGTGCCTGATGGGTACCAGCTTGTCCTCGCTGTCCTTCACTTTGTGGCCCTCTCATCTTCCAGACCACTGGATCTGCTAACAAACTATGGCCCCAGGTCCACCATCAGATGCTTGACCTCAGACCCACAGAGGCAGTGACTGCTAGGGGCCACAGCCCCTCTGTAACCACCGCGAGCTCTTCTTACAGCCCCACTTCAGAGGCTAACTGTGCTCAGCTTCTCAGATCTTTCTTCAAGCTCTGTGTCTTGTCCAGTGGGGTCAGTGTACCCTGGAAGCTGGCTAATGACTCTTCTGTCCTCTAAGTTTTCTAGACGTTACTGCTCCTCCCACAATTGTGAAAACTCTAATTCCTATAGTAAATCCCTTGTTGCCATAACACTCATGGTGGCTTTGCTGGACTGATCTACCCCAGGCTCATCCCTTGCTTTTCCCAGAGCAAAATTCTTATAGTGGAAATGATCTGAACTGACCCTTCCTTTCCCCATTAATGCTTGACCATCAGCATCTTGCTTTTAAAACTCCCACTGTACAGAATTCCAAAGTCCTTCTCCCTGGCCTACCTGCCCCCCACACCTACCTCCTTGGGAGTGTGAGGCCTCTGGTCTGACCAGTCATGCTAACACCAGAAGCTAAGATGGAGGGTAGAGCCCATCTCGATTCTGAGTCTCCTTCTGTCCCTTTTGAACTGGGGCCTTGGGCAAATTATTCGACATTTACTGGGTGCAGCTTCCTCACTTGTAAAAGGGAGAGGATGGTCCCAGCTATCTTATGGAATTGGTGTGAGATGTCAGTACAAATGGAAACCAAAAGAAAGCTGGAGTAGCAATTTTCGTATTAGACAAAATAGACTTTAAAACAAAGACTATTACAAGAGACAAAGAAGGACACCACATAATGATCAAGGGATCAATCCAAGAAGAAGATATAACAATTGTAAATATTTATGCACCCAACATAGGCGCACCTCAATACATAAGGAAAATGCTAACAGCCATAAAAGGGGAAATTGACAGTAACACAATAATAGTAGGGGACTATAACACCCCACTTTCACCAATGGACAGATCATCCAAAATGAAAATAAATAAGGAAACACAAGCTTTAAATGATACATTCAACAAGATGGACTTAATTGATATTTATTGGACATTCCATTGAAAAACAACAGAATACACATTATTCTCAAGTGCTCATGGAACATTCTCCAGGATAGATCATACCTTGGGTCACAAATCAAGCCTTTGTAAATTTAAGAAAATTGAAATCGTATCAAGTATCTTTTCCGACCACAACACTATGAGACTAGATATCAATTACAGGAAAAAATCTGTAAGAAATATAAACACATGGAGGCTAAACAACACATTACTTAATA